AAAATAGCACAAAGAGCTGAAAGCTAAAGTAGTAGAAAGCTTTTTTTGCCAAAAGTAGCACAGTATGTTTAGCTAAAAGCTAAACTGTTAAAAAGCTACATTTATGCCAAAAGTAGCACAATAGCTAAAAGCTAAACTGTTAAAAAGCTACATTTATGCCAAAAGTAGCACAATAGCTAAAAGCTTAAGTAGCATAATGCTACATTTAGGCCAAAAATATCCCAATAGCTCAAAGCTAAACTGGTAAAAACCTACATTTATGCCAAAAATAGCACAATAGCTAAAAGCTAAACTGTTAAAAAGCTACATTTATGCCAAAAGTAGCACAATAGCTAAAAGCTAAACTGTTAAAAAGCTACATTTATGCCAAAAGTAGCACAATAGCTAAAAGCTTAAGTAGCATAATGCTACATTTATGCCAAAAGTAGCACAAGAGCTGAAAGCTAAAGTAGCAACAAGCTGTTTTTTTTTTTTTTACCAAAAGGACCACAGCAGTAGCTGAAAGTTAAATGTAGCAAGACTAGCKAGAGGCAGTAAAAGGTCAGTTAAAAGCAGAAATAAGTACAACCTTATCCAATACAAGGAAAAATAGTCTTTTCTTTTTGTTTGTGTACGAAACACTTCTAAGGTGCTTTAAAACTATTGCACAATTCTAGCAAAAAACTAAAATWGGAAAAAGATTTTATGCKTAAAGTAGCAAATTGCTGGCTTAATGCAGCAAAGGTGTAGCTAAAAGCTAAAGCAAACAAGTAAAGTATAAAGTGTCGGCTGATTACTGACTGAAKAAATATTCAGTTGTTATTACAGTTATCTCTCACCACATGGAGACATGTTTGTGTTTGTAATTCTGCAGCATCTCCCCACCTTCAGCTCCACCCAGCTGCTCCTCTGATTGTTCACAGCCTTCAGACCATCCTCAGGGTGTCATTTAGCTCAGGGTGGGGCCCAGAGTGAACCCATTAACTCCAGTCTGTGTGAGAGAGACAGATGTGAGACACGCCCGTTTCTCCTTCATCAGGTCCACAACCATCTGAGGAACATGTGCTGCAACCCAGGTCCAGAACCATGTGAGGAACACATCCTGGATCCCAGGTCCAGAACCATGTGAGGAACACATCCTGGATCCCAGGTCCAGAACCATCTGGGTCTCAGTGATGCTGCAGTAAATCTCCTGCAACAGTCTGTGTCACAGGGATGGTTCCAGGAATTAGACACATCCTGTGATCTGAGTCAGAAGAGATGTGAGAAGCCTGTTTTAAGATGATTCAAGGTGTTTGGACTCTACAAGGTAAAATCTCTCCGACATTTAGAAGTTATTTTACAAAAMTTATTTACACCAAATCCAGTAAAACCAAACAGTAAAGAAACAAACAGTTGAACTCCATCTTTAGTGATTTAAATTAAACAAAACTCATAAACAGAAGTTTTTAACAAAATGAAATATTTTCGACATTAAAACACTTCAGAGGGTGGATTTTACTCATTCATCAAGGCTCAAGCTTCATGGGTTGAATTTTAGGGTCAAGATTCTTGTTATTTTAAACAGATATTTTAGTGAAACAGTGCAGAACCAATATATTTTTAAAAATCTCTAAATCGAGATTTGTTTGATGCCAAAACATCCACATAATTAGCTATGAAGCGTTATATTTCACCAAAACATTAAAAACAACACTTTATGGTTGAAAGGAGCCATATGAAAATAATTTATTGTTATAATAACAATTTTATGTTTCTGTTTAAAGCAGCCACACTTGAAATGAAAAAAAAAAAATATATATATATATATATAAAGTACTCATTACAGATTGATATTGATCGTTTCTATATATATTGCTGAAATGCAGGTACACTAAATGTCAACAAAACTCTGTTTCCTCTATTAGTTAATTTTCAAATCAATAGATAAGGGTTAAACTTATAAAGAGTTTTATTTAATTTATTTAGTTTCCTGTTTTACCTTTGGTCACCACTAGATGGAGACATCGAGCCTTAAACTGCTCAGATGATCCATCAGACTGTCACAGATGAACTCAGGAAACCAGAGCCTGTGAATGAAATTACAGCTGGTTTGAGGAACTTCCTGTGTGTGTGTGTGTGTGTGTGTGTGTGTGTG